TCTCTTCATCGGTCAGAATATACGCATTCGCGCCGACCAAATCAACACTGGTGGCAGCCATTCGACCGACGGATGATAGTAAGTCATACTGCGTGTTCTATAGAAAATAGGAATAAAAACAAAGTGATAAAGGGACGCATCCACTTTGAGGGTGACCTCAAAGAATATGCAAAAAGTCTCATGCAAAAACATCTTGAATCCCAAAGTGTTACTGTAGTGAACTAAATCTTTTTGGTCCTGAGATCCGAGAAGCCAAAAGAAGAGTTAACCTCCGCCGAAGTCAATACCAATGATTGACTTGTTTCGGGAAGTTCATGGACTTCAATCCGTTTGATGAGTGTAATGAAAGATATGATTTAATTTCATAAGAGGAATTCGACATGTATAGAGCAAATGAAGCGTGAACTGAAAAGCTAGGAACTACTGCACAGCTGTTTCAACATGGTCGGGTCTCATCAGCAATGCGAACTCATTGACCCAACTGGGGATCGAACCCGGGACCTCACAGACAGAACGCAAGCATTCTACCCATTGGGTCACCGGGCAGCTAATCAGACCGTTTTTCATCTTTCATTTACACGATACAGCACAACCCCTCTTTGCGAGCTTGCTGAGGCATCAGCCCTCGCTCATTTCAGCACTAGCCTCAGGGGGTTATGACTCGATTGAAAACTTTCACAACATGACTACTTGTTGCACGATAGCATGAGAGAAATATTCCAACGTGAGAAATAAGTTCAAGCGGATGATCAAAACGCAAGACGGCAGAAGGAGAAAACATTGAGCAGGTTGGCAAGTCGCTCTCAGACAGTGCAGCACCAGTCAAATGCAAATTCCTCTCATTTCAACAAGCAATGTTTGTTCTCTGTTGGGAAAAGTCGAGGAGGTAGTAGACATCACACGGAAAAAGGAGTACAAAAACTCAGGAATTAATACGCTTCAGGAATCGTGGCTGCACGAAAAAATCCCGAGTGAAATTGTATTACTGGATGGATATAATTTGTACCCGGTTGACCGTCCCGCGAGTGTCCATGAACGAGACGGTGTTGCAAGTTACGTTAGCGACAACTAAAATAAATCAACCAATGTAATCTACGAATACTCAACGGATAAAATCAGTTGTCACGTCACTGAACGTAAGCCCTGTTTTTTGAGTGGGTTTCATTCCATACTTCTTGGAAACTTTTACGTCACCCACAATATCAGTGACTGACAAAAACAGCTTTTCTGACATTTTTCTGCCTCCATTATATCAAGAACAAGCGACCTTTTGTGTACATTTGTTGGTGATTTCAACAAACATAATGTAACATTCCTCACCACACTGGGTCTACAAAATTTGCTAAATGTTTTTACCAGATTCAATTTACAACTTGATTTCGTTTTTACAAACAGACTGTAATTTTTTGAAGTCCATAAATGTGCTCCTCTGAGCAGTATAGATCGTTGTATCTTAGAAGTATGTCCCACTGTATACAGCAAAACTAACTGATACACATTTTTAAGAAGGCCTTCCAAGATAGTGAATCAAAGAAATTGTTCATCAGAGAACCTAGAAAGGCTAACATCCATGATTGACACCACTGATTTTTCGGTGTTTACCGATAAGAACCCTTCTACCCTCTGTGAACATGTTACGGACTACTTTAATTTCTGTTTTAACCCGTGTTGCCCACTAGAAATGGACTTCATTCATAAAGACAGATATTCATCACCGCTACTCACGCAACTACACAGGAGGAAAGAATAGGCCTATAAATAAGGACAAAGAATCCTTGTCAAGCGGCTAACAATTTCAATCAAAGCTGAAATAAATCGGTTGAACAAATTGAACACCGACATTATCCTGGAGAACTATAGTTGTCGTGGCATGTGGAGGGCTATCAACCGACTGTGTAGCAGTAGCAATAAACACAAAAAGGAAACTGTCGACGTTGAAAGACTAAATTCTGAGATTAGTCCAGTTTCACAGTGCACTGCCCTGCCAGACTTAGTCAGCTCTATGACAACATCAACTATCGAACCCGCCGCAGTCCTGAAACAGCTACTGAAAACAAAGTTGAATAAAGCGTCGGGCCTGGATGAACTACCACCCGTGGTGCTGAAGGTATGTGCGCACAACCTTTCAGCCCCATTGTCTAAAATATCCAATGACTGTCTGATCAGCGGAAAAATCCCTAATATTTGGATACTGGCCAAGATAACTTCCGTTCCGAAAAAGGAACCTGGGAAGTATCATCCCATCGCTTGCACGTCAGTCATGTTCAAACTATTTGAGAGACGCTTGTTACCGTGGGTTATCAGGGTCTGAGGAAGACGACCGTGGATTGTTATTGATTCTGCGGAATACATACATCAATTTGCATATCGCTCTTCGCGCTCAACACTTGATGCCATTACATACTTTGTTCATTCAACAATTTCAGCACTAGATAAGGAAAATAAGACCGTCAGACTGATGTTCATAGACTACAAAAACGCTTTCGGCAGTCTTGATCGATCGGTATTGCTCAACCTGATTACCGAAAGTGATGTTAATCCAAAGGTTAGCAGATGCATCTGCTATTATTTCACAAATAGAAGGCAGTTTACGTGCCTCAAGGGAAGAAGATCCTCCGCTGGCTCGATTTCTTCTGGTGTTCTGCAAGGTGCAATATTTTCCTCATTTTTATTTTCAATGTATGTCAAACAATTTCCCATTCCTCTTGCATTAATTGGCTGTAACTATGCAGATGACCTTGTTATAGGTTGCAAAGCATCCACTCCTGAAGAGGCTTCAGAAATTCAAAGCAAGCTGAACGACGTTGTCACTTGGTCCTTGTCCCGTTCCCTCTCATTGAATGCCTCTAAATGTCAGGATGCTGTGTTTCCCCTCTTGGTCGATGTACCATATTCAGCCCTAGCAGACAGGTTCCCCACCCTCTCTGTCAATCAACAACCAGTACCGAAATCAACAATAGCAAAATACCTTGGTGTCACCTTATCACATAATTTATGGTGATCACTGCATGTTCAAAGCACATTCTGTAAAGTTAGAAAGCTTTCATATTTCCCATTCCGATCGTGAATATTTTCTGTTCCCCATAAGCTGACTGTTAGGTTTGTGAATGGATGCGTACTACCCCACTGGTTGTATTACTTCCCAGTGATTTTTTCCGGTATGTTTGAGAAAGACGTTTGTTTACCCGCTCGTTCTCTGAAATAAATCTCTAAATTTAGTGGCATTGTCAGGGATAAACTCGCCGATTCTACCATAGACAGACACCTACAAGCATGCGAAAGTTTCACTGCCAAAATACTCTTAGACACTCACCACCCACTACCCAACAAATTTTCAAAAGCTATATCTACATCATTTATACGCTCAAGATTTGAACTTTTATTTGCACGTACCTCTGCTTATCGTAATTCTGTTCTGTCATATCTAGTATGTCTACTTATTGACAAGGAGAAAATTTCCACAGAATTGGGCAAATGCTTGCATGATTAACAAACACAATCTACTGCTTTCAGTTTCATTATGTGATGAGTTTGTAAATTTGAATACGCAAATATGGTGTAAATGCTGAAAATTCATCCATCCGGATGCCTAAAGCTACTACTGAAAAAATGGAGGATTTAATTCATAAAAGGAATTCGTCGTGTATAGAGCAACTGAAGCGTAAACTGAAAAGCTAAGTCGGTAGCACGCTTGCGTTCCATCTGCGAAGTCTAGGGTTCGATCCCCAGTTTGGTCGATGGATTCGTACTGTTTTAATTTTTTAACATTAACATCAATAACGTTTGGATGTTATCCTTCGTGAATAGGAAACCAAAGAAGATAATGTGACTGGATCGAGTGTGGTAGCTCGAATACCCATCCAGTAGTAGTGTTATGCTTCCAAAAAACAGTGCTGGCTTGAGAAGACTTGTTTATTACGAACCACGGTTAGGGTATGGATAAATTGACGTACATACAACAAGACGTCTCATTCGGAACATGCCATCAAAATTCCCAGCAGAAGACAGGATAATGAATGGAACAATACGTAGTTATCGACGGCTTGTTCATTTTTCATCGTTGTGAGAAGCCGCCACTCAAATTTCTTTGCGCAATCCCACCACACTACTCGCAAATGTGAGTAGGACCCAACAACACTACTAATCCGATCTGAAGTGCTGCCAACCAAATTTGTCCAGATCTTGTCAGCCAGCCCATCATATAGTTCGCAAAGACACGCACTAGCTCGATGAGGCGGAACGGGACTGCACTCAACCAATGAGTAAACTTCGGTGCGAAACTCGTTAGAAAATAGACTTTAGCTGAGCAGACTCTGCTATTAAAGGACAGGCGTTTATCATGCTTAGTTGTTTTCTACCGACGCTCGAGTTGTTTGCAAATTGGAGAAAATCGCATGGGGGTGAACAGACGACATAGCGGCTACGGACGAAAAAATACACGGAAATATTAGATAAAGCTGGTGTCCCCAGACCGGTTGGTTAGAGACATTGAAGGGCTGTGCAGGAAAATGAAAGAAGTGACGTTCTGTTGTCATTTCTTATAAGGTTGCAATGTTTGAATAGGTGTGTGCTGAGTTGGACTATGGGCTCTGTGTTGACAAAAGTAATTCACCTTTCTACCATCCCTCAAAACAGGAGCATTCCAGATTCACCCTACACATAATTTGTGCACATTGAGAGTTCGACAGATCGTCCACTGGAACATGTAGTCGACCTCCATAGGTTACACTGGTTGGAACATGTATTATTCATGTTATCAAATAGATTGCCACGGCGAGCGTTGTTTGCCGAGGCAAGTAGTCGGTGGAAAAAGGTCAAGGACAGTCAAAATAAGACCTGGCATGAGGGTAGGAAAACCCTAACCAGGAGACTGGGTCACATAAGTCCTGTTAGGCTCTCTAAATGAGGACCCCGATATCATGGTGGCCAGTGGTTAGAGATACCGAGTAATATGGCTGAGTGTCGTTCGTGCATCTACTCAATATTCTTGTAACTCCAGTCTATATGAATTCTCTATCTTCCTTTTGACTATGTTCTTTACATTCCAATCTTCGTTCTATTACTTTATTCAAATGGGCAAGCAAAAAACCGTAAATAAAACCGGTGAACAAAAGTGCATGGTTAATGACTGAAAAAACTAAAAATTTGAACCTGAGAGTTGGACAGCGATCAACTATAACCCTAAAAAAGGCCGCTGATATGCGCAAAACAGCATCAGAATGAATACCAGTTAGTGTATGAGTGCAGCCTATACGCAACCGGGGTTTGTGGTAAGCAGCTCTGCTGTCGTCCAGTTCAACACCACGCCTAACCTATCGGGGCCTCACGTGGTTCGCCACTCCAAGTCCCGGGGCTTGGGTTGCCGGTTTTCACCACTAAAACAGCGTATTCGTGACTATGGGGTTCGCTCCGTCTGCTGTTCACTATACAAAATGTGTGTAATAAAAAAGTTTTGTTAACAGGGTTTGATTAGAAAGTAAGTTCGATTTTTAATCTAACTTCTTACTTCTTACTCAAGGCAATGGGAATTTAATTAACACTAGACCGAGACATGAAACTGAGCAAGTTTCGAAAGCATGAAAACACAAAATATGAACGGAATAGAACTGTCCTCACAAGCATTGCCTCGCGTGCATCAGTATGCCCTTTGGACTCAGCGATATCCAGCGGAGTCATTTCGAACTTGTTTTCCAAATGTGCATTTGCTCCGAAACGCATCAACATCTGCACCACATGAGCGTGACCTCGTTCCGCGGCCCAATGAAGTGCAGTCATTTGAAGCATATCTTTGGCGCTGATATCGGCTCCATTACGTAATAACAGTTCTACGATATCCGCATGACCTTCTTGCGCAGCCAGATGCAACGGGGTGCGATCCACTTTGGTTCGAGCATCGCGACTGATGCCTGCTCTGAGTAAGGCTTCGCAGGAACTTAGGTGTCCGTTCATCGCCGCAAAGTGTAGAGGAGAGATGCCAAGCTATTACAGAATAATTAACAAGGGACACACGGAGAAATCAGCTGAATATATGTTTTTCTGTTCTAAACGTGGTTACAATTTTACTGTGAATTTAAAACTTGGCTTTCAATACTACAGCACGTTCCAGTTAGGATAACGAGAAATTTTGTGCAATTTTACTTTCATTTTTGTTGGTTCCGAGACAAATCGCTTGTCAAACTGAAACTAAAAAGCTAACAGAATGAAATATTCTAGTAGGATAGTTTGTAATAAAAAATAACCGTTAGGAGATAAATGAACATAATTCTGGGGAAATTAGGCTATTTTGTTTAGCCTATCCAGCAACACATAGGAAGTGAGTCAGACTTGCAAATCACAATCACGAAAACTAACGTAACTTCCCGTTTGTTTTCGGTAGATCAGAAACCGACCTCCTTTACCCCTTTTAGCCTACTGCCGACTATAGCAATACAGTTTGCAGGGGAAGTCCATTAGGTTTAGTAAGTAACGGGTTCTTCTAATACAGAAGAATGTTTACGTATATTCATATACTATTACGCTTATCTATACATATGTTTGTTGTGTCACATACATTTATTTCCACCTTCCATTTCGATATACTCTATTCAACTTTATTGAGGCTTTGTCAATTTCCCGATTGTTGTTGTTGTTGTTTCGTATTAATTACAATTTACATTTGACTCATAGTTACTTGAAAGCGGTGTTGTGGGATAATGGATTTGGATCGACTGGAACTGACCATCCGACAAAATTCACTTTTACGCACACTTCTCATCTCTTCCAGTAAGCCATACAGCTGGAAGCATTAGACTCGAGTTTCGCTCATATTAGAACTCATCAGTAGTGCGTATCCAGCATCCCGTCCGGGATTTGAACTCCGGACTCCGGCGCACAGCGGTGACACACACGACTTCATGCGATGAATCCCATGTTCAAATCCCGGACGAGAAGGTGGATATGCACCACTGAGGAACTCTAACAACAGCGGATGGTTGACTGGAAGAGACGGGGATTGTGTTGGGAGGTAGAATCTGAACGATTGTCAGTTCCAATCAACTATTCATCATTATCGTACAGCAAAATAGTGAGGCGAGCTTCACTGATCGCTGCCAAACTAGCATGCATGCAAGGTTAGTGGTAAAATTTAAGGTGGACAGGGATTGGAACTATGGTGAAGGAGGGGGAAG